ACCCTGGCCAGAGAGCACAGTTTCTTTTTCTTTTTCTAAAAATTCATTTTATTTTTTTCTTTATTTTTAAACATATATACATTTTCTTTTTACCGACCCATACAGTTTCTGATTCAGTAAGTCTGGAGTGAAAGCCCCAGAATTTGCATTCCAAACATTTCCAGGTGACACACAGGCTGCTAATCCAGGGACCACAAGGGTGCCCTCTTGAGAGCACTAGTAGTGGAAACAGCCAACAGGGATCCTTGAGAAGGGGCTCTGCCATTGCTCTGAAGAGGAGTCCAATCAGGACCCTCTGCCAGAATTCAGCTGCAGACAACAGAAGGTTCTTTCAGGGTTCACAGCTTTACAAACCCAGAACGTGGAATCCCAGGCAGAACTGAGAACAGAACGCCAGAAAGGGTGAGCTCAGGGTCCCTGAAACATGAAGACAACGAGGTGGGGGCCACTGAGAAAGCAGCTGTGGCAGAGAGATGATCAATGGCAGCTAAGAGAACAGGCGGCAAAAGGAATTGTCTGGGTTCCCTAAATTGCAGAGCAAAACAGCTTAGTTTATACACCATTTGTGGCAGTTCCTGGCTAAACAATTTTTATTTTAATGGCTATGTGTGTTCTTCTAGCAAACTTCTGTTTATTTTTTTTTTAAATATATTTTATTGATTTTTTACAGAGAGGAAGGGAGAGAGATAGAGAGTTAGAAACATCGATCAGCTGCCTCCTGCACATCTCCCACTGGGGATGTGCCCACAACCCAGGTACATGCCCTTGACCGGAATCGAACCTGGGACCCTTCAGTCCGCAGGCCGACGCTCTATCCACTGAGCCAAACCGGTTTCGGAGCAAACTTCTGTTTATGACCAATGAATCTTGCTTTCCATACTTGACAATGAGAACTAATATAGTGGGTAAGAGCATAGACTTGGAGCCAGACCACCTGGGTCATGTTACTGTGTGTCCTAGGGCAAGTTCCACCACCACCTCTGTCCTGCAGTTTCCTCATCTGTAACATGGGATAATAACAGTACCTACTTTGTAGTATTGTCATGAGGATTAAATTAATTACTGCATGGAAAGTGCTTAAAACAGAGGCTGGCACTTAACAATCACAATATAGGTACGGTATTAGCAAATATGATTACAATTTCCTTTTTAAGAAAGTTTAAAAATGAATCAATGTAAAGAAAAGTATTTGGTGAATGATAGTACAGATGGTTTGTGGACATGGCAGAAGTTGAGAGGTAACACAAAAATGTCTGAATTTGGTAAAGATTTTCAAACTGTGCTCTCCAGAGCCCCAGGATAGTCCACATCTGCTTTACAGATGGGGCTTCAAGATGCATGGACAGTGTTCTGTGATTAAAAACAAAGTTTGTAAACTATACAGCTAAGAGTTTAGAAAAAAGAAAAGCCAATGGGGATGGTGATTCTTAAGGGTCGAAACACAGTAGAGCAGCAGTTCTCAACCTGTGGGTCGCGACCCCTTTGGCGGTCGAATGACCCTTTCACAGGGGTCGCCTAAGACCATCCTGCATATCAGATATTTACATTACGATTCATAACAGTGGCAACATTACAGTTATGAAGTAGCAACGAAAATAATTTTATGGTTGGGTCACAACATGAGGAACTGTATTTAAAGGGCCAGAAGGTTGAGAACCACTGCAGCAGAGGATGGTGAGCAGTTTAGCCATAAAAGGGTTAAATCCAGCCTTACTTCCAGCAGGAAGGTGAGTGGAGGTCAGGGGTTGGCTGTGGGCAGAGTCCAAGAGGAGTTCATACAATGAGGCGGACATGGAAAGACAGCCTGGACCCCAGGATGAAAAGAATTGGTTCCCCAAGAAACAAGGGGAGCTGGAAAGCAACCAGAGAGGTTAGGCAAGAAAGAGCAGGGTCCAAGGGCTGGGGCTAGCGGCACAGCCAGCAGCCTTCAGGGAGAACCAGGCAAGGCCTGGGAATGGGAGCAGAGCCAGGCACATCTCGGCCCAGGCCCAGGCCAGCTAAATGCGAAACCACCCATCTGGTTCCCCGCAGGCAGCGTCAAGGGCAAAGTCTGTACTCTGGCAGCCCACGTGTCCTAAGAGCAGTTTTGTCAGGGATGAGCAAGCCTGACGCAGTCCAGTGCGGGTCGGGGTGGGCAGCAAAGCAGATAGATGAGTGGGGAGGACCAGAATCCCTGGCCCCACACACACCCTTGGATATCGGCCATCTCTGTGAGACGGGAGCTTGACTGGGGCTGCCTCCAGGACCCCGTTTGGTTTCAGAATCACAGCCACTGCTCCTTTAACTTACCAGGTGCCAGGCCCTGTGCTAAGCACTTATTAGATTAATTTAGAATCTTCCTCTTGTGAGTAAAGAAATTGATTCAAGACAGATTACTTTTTTAAAGGGGGGACGCATTGGGAGGATGTAGGAGCATCCCTTGACCCCCAGGTCCGGAGGTGGCTGTCCACACTGGGTTCCACGGGCCACAGTGAGGGGAGGGAGACAAGGCACAAAGAGCGATATGACTGTGTGGTCCTTCACTGTGATCCTGAGGAGGATGGGGCCCTCAGGAGGTGTGTGGATTTAAATCCAGTTTTGTTTGGCTCCAAAGCCCAAGAGCTGGCTCTCGAAGGGGAGGGCAGGGGCAGAGGGACTGTGTTCACCACGCCCATGGGACCTGGGGACACGGACAAAACAGAGTTCCATATGAATAGAAAAACTTTACTTTGCCAAGGGAGCGTCACAGCAATCCCTGCACACCCCGTACCCTTGTTCTCGGACTAGGCAAGCAGGGCTCCCCCATCCCCTGGAGGAGGATGGCATCAGCTGGGAGGATGGTGGACCTGAGACTGAGGCGGAGGCCTTGCTCAGAGGTGGGCGGGGGGCTGGGATGGCTGCGACGGTTCCTTTCGTCCCTTGCCAGCAATGGGCCGGCCTCGCTCCTCCCAGATGGTGAGGCCGTCGCAGGTGCAGATCTGCTTGGGGTTCTGGAAAAGGCCAGCGGAGCGTGCAATGATGCCACAGGCCAACCTGCAGAAGAATGTGTGGTCAAGAGTGGGCACTTGTCTGGGCCGCTTGTGGGGTCCCCATGCTCGGCTGGCAGAGCACAGCCTCCTGCCGGGGGCGGCATTACCCACCTCTCTCCTGAGTTCCCCGTGATCTTGGATAAGGGATGGCCGCCCCGGCCCAGGTCGTCTTCTCCCTCATCAATGACCAGGCTTCGGCCAATCACATCCCATACCTTTGAGGGGAGACAACAAATGGCCTCAGACAGTGTACCCACCTGTGAGGAAAGGTCCCCACTTTCTTTTCCAGCTTACCTTCAGCTGCTCATCCTCTATCCTGAAGATGGCTTGGCCATTAGCATCAGCGTGGACGTTCCCCAGGTCTCCCCGGTGCTGCAACGAGACCCAGGGGGAAAGAGCACGTGGAGCACAGCTGCTAGGTTCTGGCTTCTCCCCAAAAGTACCAGAGTCCCCCTGTGGGTACAGCCGGGTAGGATAAAGAGATGGCCCAGGACACAAGGAAGCCAACTGCATGCTCCCTCCCTGGAACCGAAATCCTGGGCAGGATGAGAGCACCCTGAAAACAGCCAGTGACCCCTTCCTGGGAAGCCATGACCACTGGACCAGGCTGTTTCTCCTACGAGGCCGTTGCCAGCCTTGCCTCCTGGCCTCAGAAGCTAACCCAGTTCCTACTTCTTCCCAAGCCCAGTTCTCCAGCCTCCTGATGACTCTGAGCCCTTGACAATCTGCAGTTCCTCTGGGCTTAAGCTGGCCACGCTTGGCTTCTTGACCCTTAGAGGCAGCCAGCATCCTTTCCCTGATGGCCAGCCTCCGAGAACAGAGAGAAGAAACACAGGGGCCAAGGCCTGTCCAGGCTCTCCCCAGAAGCTGGCTCTGCCCTGGAAGGTAACAAAAATGTAACACATCCACTGAGCATCTCCTAGATCAGACACCCTCTGCCAGGCATGGGGGGTGCATGTGCAGTCGCCACCCTCAAGGGTTCGCAGCTCAGTGGGAGCCAGATGTGGGACAGAGGAGTGATTATGACACACAGGGTTAGTACAACAGTGTATATTCTAGTGACAAGACCTACTGATGAGTCACAGAGACTCACATCTGTGCAAATAAACTGTCCCCAGCCTGACACTTGGGCAGAAGCAAGTGCCTATGCCTGTGTGGGACGCAAAGCATGTCACTGTATGACGGGTTTGACAAGCAGCAAGAAGAGCCACTTCTCTTTATCTTCTTTCCCAGAGAGACATCTGCTGCTTACATCTGGCTCTTTTGTTGCGTCCTGTGTTGGGGCTTTTATGGTAGAAAGATATGGAGGGAGAGGCAATGACACAGAGCCTTGGGGAGCGTTTTCAGGACTTGGCGGAGCGAGCAGTAGCAGGAGTGCAGCTCAGAGGTGCACCCCAGTAGAGGGTCAGGAGAGGCAGCCTTTCCAATGCCTCCTCGACACAGTGGGTGGAACTCAAACGTCACACCAAGCAGCCCAGCAGGGCCTGTACCCTCAGGCACTGGGGAGCCAAGAAGGGCTTCAGGCTGGGGCATGACATGGTGACCCCATGCTCTGGAGCAATCCCTCCAGTACAGAAGCACTAAGTGTTTGAAGAGAAAGGACTGGAGGGGGACAAGGAGAGAAGGGGAGGAAGCTGAGACCACTTAGGAGACATGAAACAGGACAACCAGGCGTGGATGTAAATTCCCACGTTGAACTCTTTTCCATCTGGCCAAAACCAGATGTTGAAATCCAAAAGGAACCTGCCAGTTGTCATGGTCACCTTGGCCATGCAGCTTTCGCTCAAGTCCTCCTCTGTCTACATCAAGGGCTTGGGCACAACAGAGCAACTGGCTCCAGCTCCTTCTGATTCTCGGCCCTGAGAGGGGCCTGGACCAGGGCCTGAGTCACGGGGTGGCTTCTTGCTCTTCAAAAACCTTCACTTCGCCCTGACCGGTTTGGCTCAGTGGATAGAGCGTCGGCCTGCGGACTGAAGGGTCCCAGGTTCCATTCCAGCCAAGGGCATGTACCTTGGTTGCGGGCACATCCCCAGTAGGAGGTGTGCAAGAGGCAGCTGATCGATGTTTCTCTCTCATCGATGTTTCTAACTCTCTATCCCTCTCTCTTCCTCTCTGTGAAAAATCAATAAAAAATAAAAATTAAAAAAACCTTCACTTCATGAGAGACTCGGGCTGTCAGTTCCCAGATGCTTCTAGCAGTTTCATGTCTCGAGGGCTCTGCCTGTGGTGTTTCCTCTGCTGAGCCTGCCATTCCCACTCCTGCTTGTCAAACCTGCCTGATTCCTGTTCAGCCTCGTTCAAGGCTCAGTGAGGAAGACAGCCTGTAAGGTGCACCTCCCCTGTATTCACACCCTGCGCGCTCCCCTGAGGGTGGGCTGCGCCTGGTGTCACTTTCAAGATCAGGTTACTTTTTTTTTTCTTTCAGTTTCACTTTTTTCTTTTGTTTAAACAAATGTGCGCCACGATGGTTCAACAAGTAAGGCAAATGACATGAATATGAAAGCTGCAGTTTGTAATATACCACATCTAGAACCCAGAGATGGCGAATTAGACTAAAGCGGTAGTCATTCTAATTAAACAATCAGGATGACTTGGTTTGCAGCATGGAAACTGTCGACATAGGTTTCTTTTCTCTTAGTGATCAGAGGTCCCACATTATCTCCAGTCTTTTCACTGTGTTTTGTGTGAGCTCCATCGCAGAATGGGAACTTTTTAGACCTCCAACAACAGGTGACAAAAAGAAGTATGGCTTCGGTTTCGGATGCCCCTCTCACTCCCTTCCTCCAGGGAAACCAGCTGCTGTGCTGTGAACTGCCCTGGGGCGAGGCCCGCGTGGCACACATGTCTGGCCAGCAGCCATGGAGGCCCCCAGGCCTGCCAACAGCCACCTGAGCCAGTGGAAGGGACCCTCCCACCTTGAGCATGGAGATGGCTGCAGCCCCGGCCAGCACCTTGGCTGCAGCCTGAGAGACCCTAAACTGCACCCAGAGAACATGAGATGATAAATGCTTGTGGTTTTAAACCCCTCAGTTTGGAGTAATTTAATTCACAGCGATATAGAACTGATACACGAAACACAAGCATGCCCCAGGGCAACGGACATGACAGAAAGGCTTCTCAAACTCTGGGAGTGGGGGTACGGGGGGCGGGGGAGTAAAAACTTTTTACCATGAGAAATGTGACAGCTGTCAAAAGTAAAAAAAAAAAAATCAGTTACATGAATTATAAACACACACCATGTTTTCATTTGTGTTGTGGCAGAAGGTCCTGGGGGTGGGGTGTGAAGAGGAGTGCTCAGCTCCCAGGACCAGGACCCGGACCCAGAGCTTGCCTGGTACTGAAACCCGCATGGGGGAACACACAACGCAGGAAGTGAAGTGGGTGGCATTAGGTGTGTGAGGACAGGGCATTAGGAAACATTAAATCACTTGTTTGACATCCAGGACAAAGTTTCCATTCGGTGTTCACAGGCCTTTTACACCTCTCTAACATTTGCTAATCACTTGAACAAAGATAAAGGGACCTCAGTCCCTGGCAGGACACAGAACTCGGTTTAAGCCTGAACTGATTTATTTCTACAACGATCCTCCTATTAAGGCTGGAAGGAAGTACTGGTTTTTCATTCTCTGTGGCAATTATCAAGTGTCTCGTTAAAAAATCAATCTACCTTCATTATGTCTTGCTTTGATTCAAAATAATGGTGAAGGGCCAGGGTGTAGATGAAACAGGACTGGCCATGAGGTGGTGACTGCTGAAGCTGGGAAAAGAGACCTGCCGGTTCAGGACAGCAGTTTCTCTACTTTATTTATTTATTTTTTAAATATATTTTATTGATTTTTTACAGAGAGGAGAGGAGAGAAATAGAGAGTTAGAAACATTGATGAGAGAGAACCATCGATCAGCTGCCTTCTCACACCCCCTACTGGGGATGTGCCTGCAACCAAGGTACATGCCCTTGACCGGAATCGAACCTGGGACCCTTCAGTCCGCAGGCCGACACTCTATCCACCGAGCCAAACCTGCTAGGGCGAGTTTCTCTACTTTAGAATATGTTTGAAACTCTGTGACAGACTAAAGCACTAAAAATAACCAAATTTACCTAAAGAAAAACAATGAGTTAACTTAAATCAAAACATTGAGTAACTAACGGAACAAGCAGTACTCAAATAGGGCAAACATCATTAAGGCAACACGTGACTCACTATCGCTGAGAAAAACACTTCTCTGGTGAAAAATGAAACTCTGGGACCAGGAGTTGGAGCACTGGGGAATGGCCTGTCCAGTTTAGGTAAAACCTTCCACTTCTACACCGTCACTTCCCCAGGAAGCTTTCTCACTGCCCATACCCTTAGGGCTGCATCAGGGGCTTGCTCTGGGCTCCCAGGGGCCTCCAGCAGGATTCTCACTGTGCTGCAACCAGAGCACTCAGTGGTCGCCCCTCCATTGACAGAAAGTGTCACAAATGCTCCTAACTGGAATGAGGTGAAGGGAAAAGACCCCAAAAAGGCATCTCACTCAAAGGCCCCACGGGCTGCTTGCCTGTCTCTGGGGACCTTGGGCTCTGTCTCAGCCTAAGCCTCACAGAGCTGGACACTTACCCGGTCAGAGTCCCGAGGGCCCCCATGAGATGTTCCATCAGGGTTAAAGTGGTCCCCACAGCTGAGAAGAAAAGGTAGCAGGTAGCCAGTGAAACAGCAGCTCACAGGCCAGACGATCCATCCTCTTACTTTAACTACATTTGTTTCTGTCTTTCCTTCATTCATTCATGCATGCATACATTCATTCAACAAACAGGCTCACTTTATGCCAAGCTTTGGGTTGAGGGTACTAAGAAGAATCGAACATTGGTCCTGCCCTCAATAAGCTTCTAAGGGAGACACAAATGAGTAAACTACTAATAGTATGACAAACACCATGACACAGGGAGTCACCGTGTCCAGGAGTCACCTTCCATCTTAGAGACAGTAAGGTAGCTATGAGCAGGACCATCAAGGTGAGATTTTGGTTCAAAACCCCACTCTACTATTTACATGCTCAGGGGCCTTTGACAAATCATTTAACCTCTTTGAGCCTCAGTTTCCTTATCTGTAGAATGGGCCTGTGTGTATATGCTTTACAGAGTACGTATGAGAACAAAGTATGAAAGTGTGTGTAAAGGGCTGAATATAGTCCCCTGCACATAGTGAGTACACAACTGGGGGGGATGAGGATGCCGCAAGGGAGGTTACAGACAACTTACCTGTTGCAGTTCCTTGTGAGGTCCCCGAACTGATGGACATGGAGTCCGTGTGGCCCAGGCTCCAGGCCATCAATGGTTCCCTCAATGAGGCAGCGCTCAGGGGTCAGCTGTAGGAAGCGCACCACCCCCTGCACAGGGCCAGGGCCTCCTAGAATGGCCACTGCTGCCCCCAGATTCTCTGCAAGGTATTAGACACCTGGGTTGGTTTGCCACCTCACCCAGACCCACCTCTTCATCAGCTGGGCAAGGGCCTGGAGAGAGCCCCACATAACCTTCACACCTTCTCCAAAGTCTCTCCAACCCAAAGCCACAAAATCCTATGGTTAGATTTATACCAGTCCCTGG